ATTTTTCGTCATAATCTGGATCACCCAAAATTATCGTGAACTGTGCCTCTCAACAGTCCTTTCGAATCTCAAATATACGTCGTATGTCTACAAATATAAGGTATGTCACTGAAAAATCCAATGACTTGCTCTCATTCTCTGAAAATTCCACCCATTCAAAAATTCCAACCCACAGCATCAGAATGTGGTTGACAAAGATAGGCTACACTTTGATAAGTGTAAAGCTATTCCTGATTCTGGATATTTTAGCAGTTTCTTCCACATCTTTCCAATGCCGATGAACGGGCATTTGTTATAGTAAACAAAGATGGCGACTATGCAATTGTCAAAGGCAGGTGGACGGGTTTCTCCAGAAAACAGGTTTGTTAAACCCTTTTGAAAATTGAATTATTGTTCGTTTTCTCTGTGATGAGTCTTGGTTTCAGCCGGCTTCAAAAGGCCAAAAAGCAAAACCTGGTGCCGCTGGTCGACTTCTTGTTGATGCATTCAATTTATTGAAAAATACGGTGCAAAAAATCGAGGTACCGTCACCAGACGGCTCGACCTTATTTGTGATTGGAGGTAAGTTTCACCAGATTTCCAGCAGTGCTTAGTTTTAAGAAAGCTGTGAAGAAGCGTGTAACACCTTGCACCATGTGAGCGGTGCGCAGTCAACTTTATTTCCTTTTCTGTCTGGCAAACTTCCCCATTTTCAAACACAATCATTAGAAGTTGGTAGTTCGATACCTCATGTAGGGACTGAGAAATGTTGTGTAAAGATACTTTGTCTACCATAAGCGAAACAAGTGGGTTTTCATATTAAGTCCAAAGTGAAAAGAGTCGAATTTATAAGGGTGCAGATGAGAAGGCGTGCGAAATGACTCGGCCGGCTTTTGGTTCTTAGCGAACACTCACCATGACCATAGAATTTTAAAGTGCGATGTTTTTTCAACTTTTTTCATGAAAAAAAGACCGTTACCGACGAAGTGAATCACCACCTATCAAATTCGCACTCTACTGTCTTTCTCAATTAGAAACCTGTTTACTGGCTTGGCTTCAGATGCCCAGGCACGTCTTCCCGGAAAGCGAATAGAATGTCGATCAACGAACACTGCCGAGCAGATTGCTTCCGTTTTTTGCGTTTCCACGTTGTTCGTGCTGTGCAACCCGGATAAGGTTGGTAGTTGTAACAGCTTTTTCTGGAGTGCAAGACTCCATTTTTTTTGAAGGACTTTTTCTGGATCACTCCAGTAGGACTTACATCTTGGGCGAAATTAATTTGAGATGGAAATCAGTCCAAATCATCAATGATGCTTCGAATGAATTGGTTCTCGTTAGACGACTTTACAAGTATGTACAGCTCTTCATTCCCAACTGGGAAAGGCCAACGCGCTCAGTTCATTTTACAACTGCCAGGGGTTGAACAAATTCTAGGTCAGAGTTTCCGCTGCCCACGTCAGGCTGAGAGGACTACGTTTCCAGCGACAGAGGATTGTATCAGCTACATCAGATTCTAACGGTAACAAAATGTGAAAATAAATTTGAAAAAATACTGCGATGAAATGATTAGCGGCGAAGCGGTCGAGAAGGTCTAGTGGAGATAGCGTTACAAACCAAAACGTTAGACCCATGCTGCAACCAAAGTGGGAAACCTGCTTTTTGGCTGTGGCAAAGCAGGGGTTCAAAACAGCGCATGTTTAGCTTGATGCTGCAAAAAGATGAAAACGAGATGAACTGCTTGTCATATCAAATATGGTCAGTGTCATAGTATGATAATCAATCTTTACTTCTCTCTTGGAACATCGTTAGCCAACCCCTAATAGGGGCTCTGTGAATGGGAAAAAAAAACCAAAAGTTCAATTTTAACACTGGTAATTGTTGAATCAACCAGTGCATAGAATGATTTAGGTTCGATCACGTAACGACAGTACCTCAGTCGGCCACCAGGCTCATAAATGGCCTCTGACATTGGCATGTGGCTACGGCAGACAACTTCCTTCGAATCGTATCCTCCAATCACATGACGCTGAAGGTAAAATTTCCAGTCATCATAAAGTAACCAGACGACCTGACCGTTATTAGGAACTGACGGCATCAGTTCAGTCCATATTTTGCGTCCTATTTGCTTCTCCAAATATCAAAGACGCTCATCGAAAGCTATACGCAACCAAGCAAATTCCTCGTGATGGGCAAAAGAGGAAAACGCATTCCCCATCCTTTTGTTCGCCTGTAGTGCTAGCTGTTCAGGTCTGGAATTGGCTCCACTGATGATGGCCATGTGTGGAGCAAGCGGATGCGATGGTGCAGCTTGTGGAGCGTGTGGTGCCTGTGGTGCTTGCGGAGCTTGTGGTGGTTGCGGTGGCTGTGGTGGATGCGGCGGATGTGGTGGATGCGGATAGTATCGCGCATCCCATTAGAAAATCTCCACCTATACCAACTAGTCAGAACTGATTGCCTGAACCCGTTGTCTTCCTTTTTCAACCTTCTGTTCGCTTCCAATAATACTACCCGTACTTTCTTCCTTCTTCCTCTTATCTATTTAATATGTATCGATCGTTCGGTTTTATCCTCACCACATGCATTCCTTAAAAAATCAACTGTACCTGTAGGAACTAGGTTCTCGTTTCTTTGCCCTCTTTTTGGCTTAGGTGCAGACACGCCATCGCGGTCATTGCGTGTGAGAAAAGTCGCTGCGCGCCGGGTTGCGTATGGCGCAGGCGGTGACCTAATTTCGCAAGCGGTGACCGTAAAGGCTCCTTCTGACCTATGCCCTTTCTTCACAGAAATCAAAGGATATTAACTGTAAAAATTGTGTCTATTTCTGGTGCTCTTTCGAGGCATTTACTACACTTGTAAATATTTAGTTAATATGGGAATGTTTCAATTGCCATAACATCTTTCCTTCTCATATTTTTGTTTCCTGAATGTTTGATCATAAGTGTTTTGCAAATAGATTGATGGATGAAATAATTCTTTACTATACGATCTATCGACCAGGTTGTTGGAAGTCGAAAAGGAAAATCAGGACAACTGAACCTGCTCCAGGCGTCTTTCCGATTATATCTGATCAATATCATAAATCAGTCAACTTCGCATTCATAAGGGTGACGACGACCAGCTCGATCCATAATCGAAGCGACCATCACAATTCATTCGCCTTTAGTGTTCAGGCAGGGTTGTGTAGTGGCAAGTGGCACACTATCTCACACGCACGGTCAAGGGTCCAAATCCCGGATCGATAATCGCCTGGGCTAATCAAACCTTTCATTCTTCCGAAGCCGATTAATTGGTACCAGACTCGTCCGAGAGGATAAAAGCACTGACTTGTACAGCTGGTCACCGCAAGTCATTGTGTAGGTCACATACGCCCTTATTACGCCGCTACGATTCTGAATGGAAGTCGAGTGCGGGGGCGCACCCCTCAGACGGGACTGATTAACGCTAAAAACTTTATTCTTTATCCTTTATAGTAATCAGTACCCACGATGTCTTTCTCCTGACCTCCTGAATTATCCTTAACTGAAAGATCCGAATAATGCAAATTTCTATTTACTCCTTCTGAAGTTGGTCTGCCTACTTCGACAAGGAATTGTTGATATTGAGGTGAATATGGGCAACTGCCGACCTTTCTACTACCATATTATCTACTTCCTCTCGAAAATAAACTTGAAGCTAGTTGCTAATTTTTTTCGTGGTTCCGTTCCAACGATTTTTTTGGATTCCAATATAATTAAGATAAGCGGTAAGCGAAGGAAGATTTCATATGACAAGAAATGATGTCGGGCAGAGGAGCGACTATGGGTCAAGGGAACTAGGGTAAGAGGTAAGAGATTGAAAAAGAGTTTTACAAACGTGTCAGGTTAAGGGCTAATCAAAAAGACTTATTTTACAATGGAGCAATTGCTGTGGGCTGTAGCTGATTCAAACAATTTGACAGATCTTGAATGACTTTTGAAGAGTTTCAGCCATCTTTCTAAAATTCCTCCAACTTTAAGATGTTGGCGAGAAGTTCAACAATGAGCTGTGTTGATAACGGAGGTGCTTGCGTTAAGGGAGAACCAGCGAAACATCACTTTTAAAAACTTAAGCGATTTTGAGTGAGTGACATCCTCATTATCGCATTTTTGCTTGCCTTCGATTTCTATCTCTTAGTCGAAATCTTGTTAAAATCCCTTTTACCTTTGTTTGTATTTTTCGAATCATATAGGGAAGGTTCTTTAGAACTAAAAAAAACTTTCATGAAAAAGCAGAACTTCATAGAATGGTTCTAGAGCATGTCAGTTTCAAAATTCTACCACTTCCAAATCAAATTATCATTCTGTGTTAGCATTTCATTCAAGGCCTCTGACACGCTGGCGAAAACCCCAGAACTTCATTTCTACCTGTTCTCGCAAAATTTGACTGTAGATGGACCATCAACAGCAGCTGAGGAAAAATGGTGCACGGTTTCTCGAAGACTTGAATCATCTCGATAAAAAAAAGTAAAACAAACCTAAAACTTTGAAAAGAAAAACCACTTCCCATCGCTGTATAGGAAACTGAGAGCCTTTCCTCAATCGTCTCCGCTGAAATTCCGAAAAACTTATGCGAAGTCATAAACGAAAGGAGGGAGATTTTAACCTCCATCTATTTATTTGTTTATTTACTTATTTATTTATTATGCACAAATGTGCGCTACTAAAAAAGCATAACAGAGGAACAATACACAGAAACACAGAAAAGCCCTCAAAACTGGAACCTTTCAACTAAAGTGCTTCACACACTAGATATCATACATGCATGTGAATAGTATTGGAATGGAATGAAGTGAAAGAGTATGCTTTCATTGATGCCATTGGTGGCTCCAACATCATTAGTGGGCAGAAAAAATGCTCACTATTCACTCGAACCTCAACCACTGCAGTTAGTTGTGAAAAAACAGTCAGCAATCGCCAAAGCGATCGGGAGTGGTGAGGTGGTGATTACAGAGCTTCCCACAGAGAAGTTTTCTAGCCACGTAGCATCCAGCATAAAGTATAGAAAAAATGAGATTATAGGATGCACTTTGACATCTAGTGTGTGAAACAATTTTATCATTAATTGTTAGCATTATTATCATCTATCACTTCATTATCATCTTTCATCTTCGCAGGTCATGCAGGGTAGGAAGTCTTCTGAGAAGAATTACTCTTCTAAATAACTGCAAAAGCGAATAAATCAAAGTACTTATTAGTGAGAGTCCTCTAAACCCAACAGTTCTAGCAAATTTATTTTTCTTAATCTATCTCTGAGCACATGACTATTTTTAGCAGAAAGCATTTCAGAAGGTAACATTTGCATTCACCTCGCGCCTCGGGAGGTACAATTTATTCATTTATTTGTTACAATCGTACAGAGTAAAGCGACAACATTAAATAAATAAGAGTGGCAGACAGTGATACAACAGGATAATTAGAACATATAGATTACACACGTGAACATAGCCTAGAAGCCATAAGGATAATTACTCAGAATTTCACATTGGTTGAACGATAAAAAACAAAACGAAACGACTTATAGGCCGCAGAACAAATAGGCAGGAAGAGGGTTGGGGAAATGAAAGTGCATCTAGGAGGGAAGGGCAATGGCCGGTCAACATTGCAAGTGGGGTGGGGGCGACTCCGGATACCTACTTTGTATGTCCGCCAGCCTCTCTTAGAGCCGCATTGCGTGTAGAGGGGAAACAAGGGGGAAAAGAGCTTGAGTACGGGAAAAAAGAAACTGTTTCACTCAATACATATTTTCATGTTCAAAAATGGAGAGGGCATGCTCTAGAGTCAAAAAGGGATTGAATATGCGAGATCAAAAACAAGAGTCGCAGAAGTGTATTTCGCTGAAATAATAAATTGCGGAAGTCAGTGCAAACTTTATTCAAGACTGCCTCTGGAACGTTGAATTATTGAATAATTCCAATGTTTCCAGGTCACTTACCGTGGAAACAGGGTGGTCAGCAACATCTCAATGATCGGGTTAGGCCGAGGATTCAAGGCAAACCGGCCAGAATGACGCTGAAAATGCGTTGATATTTTGGAGTCGTCACGAAGGAAATTTGTGTGAAGCAGACAAATGTAATAAACGGTGGTGGATCCGAATCCTGGAGAAGTCTATCGCGCAAATACGCATGATCAGCGAGCCTTTGCTCGGCGCCATCGGAGCGGTTTCCTTATTCACCTTTCCTAAAGGTCATGCGTCGACTGAGTGGACATTTTGCAGTTCCACAACGATCTCTACAATCGACAATCTTTGAATGAGCCACTTGGTGTTTAGGATACCTCGATAAGTGGTCCTGGAAAGCCTTACCATTAGTATGCTCCCAAAAGAAAAAGTTTGAATCCAGTTTGTTCCAGAGTTGAACCACTCTTACAGTGAATGCACCTTTGTAGGCGTGAGTGTTAGGCTTGTCAGGTCGCAAGCGATAGGGTTGGCCTCTGGAAACTCCTCTGGATGGAGAGTTCTCCAAAAGGTCATCCAGCCATAGGTTCATTTTGCCCATTGCCAGATTATACATCAAACCGAAATCGACCAGCTTCTGTCGAAGTTCATGCAATTCGCCACAGAGTTTTTTGAAACGTTCATCATACGACGAAGTTGACATGCCCTTGCTCATGAAACAACGGTGGGTGAAGCTTTTTTGTACTTTCTCAATTTCATTAATTAGCGATATTTTATGTTTTGACCAGATAGGAGAACAGAACTCAAGGATTGGGCGGACGTAAAGAATAAATAGGGAGAACAGCAATTTAGGCTCGTTCGTTTTGAAAGTGCTGAAAATAAGATTGGTTCTAGAGCTAGCATTAGCTACTGCCTCACGTATAAACTCTTCGAAGCCAGGTTTATCTCAGTAGGCAACTCCGAAGCCCCTAACTCTAGATATACGGGAGAGCTCGACCCCGCACATAGAAAAAGTGAAGCTTGGGTGATTTTTACCCAATCCCATGATAGCTGTTTTCTGAAGGGAAATTGTACCGAACGTCGGGTTCGGTAGTGAGGTATCGAAACGAGAAACGTGTGGCAAAAATACACCGAACTGTATTAGTTCGTTTATTACAACGAAACGAATCAATAACAAATAAACGAAACTCGATAAAAACAAAAAAAAATCTGCAACACCGAA